CCATGGTGGAGGTGGGCCCTCTGGACAGACGGGGCTGCGTCAGGTGAGCCTGTTGGGCTCAAGGGAGATGGGACCTCCTCGGAACAGGGACACAGGGTCGCTCACTCAGCGCTGATTGAATACCCGCTTTGTATTTGGGGTCAGCAAGAAATCAGGGAAGGGCGAGCACTTGGCTCCCAAGCAGGGGCCGTGCAGTCTGAGCCGTGCAGCGGAGGACCCTCGGGCCTCCAGATTCAGCTCTGTCAAGGGGGCAGCTGTCAGGTTCCCTTCTCGGGGACTGTGAGGTTTGTTTGAGGTTTTTGAGTGCTGGGCACTGTCCCTTGTTGAGGATCACGAGTCCTGTCTCCCGAGCTTGGAAATACCCTAGCAGGGGCCAGCTCTGAGCCCAGCACAGGCCCTGCTTTAACACTGCTTCATACTGAGGGCGGCCTAAGGGAGCCACTGACATGCGCCCCCCGCCGCCCCGGCTCTCGGGGCTTTGCCAGCACCTGTTGGAGTTTGGCCCTGGGCCTGCTGATCTCTGCAGGTTTTCTTGGTTTGGTTTGGTTTTTTTTTTGTTGCTGTTGTTTTTTGAGACAAGTTCTCTCTCTGACAAGTTCTCTCTCTGTCACCCAAGCTGGAGTGCAACGGCACAATCAGGACTCACTGCAGCCTCGACCTTCTGGGCTCAAGCGATCCTCCCACCTTGGCCTCCCAAATAGCTGGGACTACCGGCGTGTGCCACCACACCTGGCTAATTTAAATTTTTTTTTTTTTTTAGAGAGACAAGGTCTCCCTGTGTTGCCCAGGTGGGTCCTGGACTCTCGGGCTCAATTGATCCTTCTGCCTCAGCCTCCCAAAAGTGCTGGGATTACTTTTAGGAGGCATGAGCCGCCGCGCCCAGAGTTTATCCAAGTGCCCTGAGCTGTTTGTGCACCCACGGGCCTTGGGCCACTCCCTGTGGAGTGGCTCTGTGATTCCTTTTCTCAACTTCACATGTAACGAAGGCAAAGCTGGAGTTGCTGAAGTAACTTCCTCTGCACCAGTCCTGGGGCTGCTGCTCCCCAGCTCAGGCAAGCAGGTTGGGAACCTCCCCTGGCCTCCGTTTCCTCCTTGGTAAATGCAGCATAATAGTCACTGCCCTTCCAAGTGGAAGAGATTATGTGGCCGGAGGCGCCCAGCACAGATATGGAATATTGTTTCGTGCACTCAAAGATGATGGTTTCTGTGGCCGGGTGCGGTGGCTCACACCTGTAATCCCAGCACTTTGGGAGGCTGAGGTGGGCGGATCACCTGAGGTCAGAGGTTTGAGACCACCCTGGCCAAGATGGTGAAACCCTGTCTCTACCAAAGACGCAAAAATTACCTAGGTATGGTGGTGCACACTTATAATCCCAGCTACTCAGGAGGCTGAGGCAGGAGAATCACTTGAACCCAGGAGGCAGAGGTTGCAGTGAACCGAGATCATGCCACTGCACTCCAGCCTGGGGGACAGAGCCAGACTTCACCTCAAAAAAAAAAAAAAAAAAACAGAACCTAATCTAAAAGTTGGAGCATGTGCCCCCAACAGGGTGGGGTGGCAGCACAAGGAACCGGCCTGGGCCGCATGAGGACCCCTGGGGCAGGACGGAGATTCCCTGGTTGGCAGCACCTTACAGCAAAGACATCCCAACTAACACACACAGGCTTCACACACTGCACAGACAAGAGGGCGTGCCATGAAGTACAAGGACCAGGTTCAAGTTCTATTTCCACACCTCCCCACTCAGCTTCTGCATCCGTGGAAGGGACTTACCGGACCTCCCTCGCAGAGCCTCGTGCATGAGATAATTCATGGAAAGCACAGATGCAGGCACACGGTGAGCACTCAAAACAGGGCTGCTACTTTTACCATTTAATGACCTCACAGGATGGTTGTACAGATATAATAATAATAGCATCCAAGGTACAAGACACTGAGAAGTGCCTTATTCAATCCTCCTTTGCTTCACAACTTAGGCACAATGATTATCCTCCTATCATAGACGAGGACATTAAGGCTAAGCTTCCTAAACAGCTGGTCAAAGACAGAGCTGGTGTTCAAACTTAGCTACCTCTAAAATGAAATCTCTTAACATGATAATACTATGAAACTGACTTGTAAACAAGAACATATCGTTTCAAAGTAGCATCCCACACTGCGGCATCTATCAGTGGCCTGATGTGACAGCTGGGAGCACATTAACATCACCCAACTGGGGGCACAGAGGAAACACGATTGGCCAAATGCAAAAGACTGTGGGTGAAGGGAACATGGCACTCATGATATCATTCCTTCCAATTCTGTGAATGTTTGAAATGTTCTTCAATAGAAAGCTTCCTTAAATACCAGAGTATTATTATTAGCATCAGCAGGATCACCTCTTCTTTCTCCAGAAGATGAAGCCTCCCACAGTCACAATAACCAGGGCACCAAAGATACAGCCAAAAACTGCTCCACAGATGACACCTGAGAAAAGTCAAAACGGGAGACGCTTGAAGAGGTGATCGTGCAGACCACATGACGTGCTAACAACCAGCCAGGGACCCTAACACCAGAGGGTTCAGGTATGTGTGGCATACACACGCATGCATGCGCGCGCACACACACACACACACACACGTGCACACACACAAGAGTTAAATAGCTTGGACCTAAAATTAGTCCATGCACACGGAAGCCAGGTTCCTATTCCCAACCCACTACCACCTGGATGGTCTTGAGAAAGCTACTGCTCCTTGCCAGGTCTCAGTCTCCTCAACTGCAAATTTAGGGAACTAGGCTGGATTTTCAGGGATTTTTCCTGCCACCTCTGACGTGTTGAGACTAGCACCCACATAGGAGCAGAGGTACCTACAGCAGCATCCATGCTCAGGAGACAGGAAACCCATTGGTTTACTGGAGAAGGATGTGGGGACTCCCTAAACTTTGCTTCTGGGACAGGCATTCTTTCCTGCACCCAACAACCACCAACTAGGAAAAAAAGCAGACAAACTAACAAGCCAGTCAGTCCATTCACCTCTGGCTTGAAGGTAGGGGATGAATCCCTCTTGGATCCCTGAAGCTCCTGTATCACTTAGGTCTATGTGATAAAGGGTAGAAGCACTTGACAAGGGTCCAAGACCAGAATTTCAGGCCTGCCTCTAAAGCCACCGTGTAACCCTGGGCAAGTTACTTCCCCTCTCTGGGCCTTAAGAGTCTCATTTCCAAAAAGCTGGCAGAGCACAGTGGCTCACGCCTGTAATCCCAGAGCTTTGGCAGAAGGTGGAAGGAAGCTTGAGGCCAGGGGTTCGAGACCAGCCTGGGCAACATAGCAAGACCCCATCGCTACAAAAACTTAGCCAGGCACAGTGGTGAGCACCTGTGGTCCCATCTGGGAGGCTGAGGCAGGAGGATCCCTTAAGCACAGGAATTCAAAGTTACAGTGAGCTATGATCATGCCACTGTACTCCTGGGCAACAGAGCAACACTCTGTCTCAAGAATAAAATAGATAGGCTGGACATGGTGGCTCACGCCTATAATCCTAGCACTTTGGGAAGCCAAGGTGGGCAGATCACCTGAGGTCAGGAGTTCAAGACGAGCCTGGCCAACATAGCTAAACCCCGTCTCTACTAAAAATACCAAAATTAGCTGGGTGTGGTAGCAGGCACCTGTAATCCCAGCTACTCAGGAGGCTGAGGCAGGAGAATTGCTTGAACCCAGGAGGCAGAGGTTGCAGTGAGC